TTTTCTTTTTTTTTTTTATGGTAGTTAAAACCAAATTCGATTTATGAGTTTTAAAAGTAATATATATATGTTTTCTTTAAAATTTCAAACTTTTCCCAGTTCCCATGCAGCATTCCTTTGTCCTCAGGGTGTTAAGGTCCAGGCCGGGCAGGGGTTACAGTGAAGGACTCACTGTCACAGGGCGTCTCCTACCTCAGGTAGGTCAGCGACTTGAGTGACGCCAGCGGGTCCAGGTCGCCCTGTGGAGGGAGAGCAGACACCCCCTGAGCCGCTGCGCACGGTGATGCCTGGGAGCGAGGACCATCCTGCCCGTCCTTCCCGCTCCGGCGCCCGATGCGCTTCCAGGGAACAAGCTGGTGAAAGCACTGGAGCTTCTGCACCCGCCCCTCTCTCCCCTCTCGGCCGTGACAGCGTCTCCACCCACAGCGGCGACGGCTTTAACCAGCGCATCAGACCCACAGCGAGCTGGCGTGTGCTCCCGTCTCCTGGGAACCGGCCCCCCGCCCCCGGGGCTCACCAGCTCCACCAGGCTGTTGTTGGTGAGGACGAGCTCCGTGAGGCAGGGCAGGGCCTGGTCCAGCGCCTCGCCGATGCGGCTGCAACAAAGCAGACGCCCCGAGTCAGTGACGGGGAAGCCGCGGACCACGTGACCACGACCTGCTCGGAGGAGCGCAGCCTCCGCGTGGCAGGAACCGGGGGGCTGTTCTCCCGACCCCCGAGCGACAGAGGCACAAACACAGACCCTGTCGAGGCCCCAGGGCAGTGGGAGCGGCAGGGTGTGGGGCCCACCTTCCCGGAGGCTGTGGGGGCTCTTCCTGCTCCCACGCTGTGTGAGGACACGAAGAAAAGGAGAAACCCCAGCCCGGCCCGTGTGGCTCAGTGGTTGAGCATTGACCTATGAACCAGGAGGTCACGGTTCCATTCCCCGATCAGGCACACGCCCTGGCTGTGGGCTCCATCCCTAGTGCAGGACGAGCAGGAGGCATCCGATCAGTGATTCTCTCTCATCAACGATGCTTCTACCTCTCCCCCTTCTCTCTGAAATTAATATAAATCTATTTTTGGGGTCAGAGTCTGTGGGCTGCAGAAGTTTAGTACTTAGGCTGTGTGCGCCCTGAGATGAGATGGAAAAGGCTGGAAACCGCTGGGCGAGCCCAATGCCAACTAAGCTCTCACCTGCACGAGAAAAGCTTCCTCACTTCTCATCTTTAAAAAAATACATTTTATTGATTTTTTTACAGAGAGGAAAGGAGAGGGATAGAGAGTTAGGAACACCGATGAGAGAGAAACATCGGTCAGCTGCCTCCTGCACACCCCCCACTGGGGATGTGCCTGTAACCAAGGTACATGCCCTTGATCGGAATCGAACCTGGGACCCTTCAGTTCACAGGCCGACGCTGTATCCACTGAGCCAAACCGGTCAGGGCCTTATTTCTCACCTTCAGAGGGAACGTGGAGGGGGCCCTGGCAGCGAGTAGGGCGCTCACCCTGGGCACCAGACCTGCCCCGGCAGCCACTCACCAGATCCTGTTGTTGTTCACCAGGAGGGTCTTCAGTCTCCTCAGCAGCGGGAAGCCGTCCAGCTTCCGGATTTCATTGTCAGAAAAGTCAATGGCATCGAACTGGTCTAAGGTCGCACCCAGGTTCTCGATGACAGGGATCTTATAGCCTGTGAAACGGAGGGAAAAGCCGCAGGCGTGTTAACAGGACTGAGAGGCACCGGGCACATGAGCAGAACTTCCCGGTCATTCGATTCCAGGCCGGCACTCATCCAGAAGGTGTTTACCTAGGTCGGGCCGGGGTGGCTCAGTGGTTGAGCACTGACCTGCTCAGGGCACAGGCCCGGGTTGGGGACTCCATTCCCAGTAGGGGCCATGCAGGAGGCAGCCGATCCACGATTGTCTCTCATCATTGATTTGTCTCTCTAAAAATCAATAATAATAATAAAAAAATGTTTACCGAGCACCCAGGTCCCGGCACAGGAAGTGAGGGACACAGAGGCCAGGCCCCAGCTGCCATGAAGCTTACGGGTCGGCAGTGGCCACGAACACGGTGACGGCGACGAGGCCAGGGGAAATGAGGGCGAGGGCGTTTGTTCGGCTGTTGGCAAGGTGCCCCGACCGCTCTCAGCCCGGCCCCGAGGGAGACCTGGCAGGAAAGGAACCTACAAGGCGTTCTGCTCCCTCCCAGTGTGCGCACCGTTTCACACGCGGGACGAGAGCTGTCTTTTGAATTCGTGGGGCTCGTCAGGACGTGGTCATCATGTGCTGGGTCTCCCCAGTGCCCACGGCCCCAGCTCCAATCCACGGGTGAAGGTGAGGGGTTCAGACACAAGCTCACGGGGTCACACAAGAGGTCAAAGGATCATGCACAACAGTAAGCCTCTCTGTGAGCAATTCCTCCAGGCTCTCACTGACGGGTCTAACTCGGGTGCAGTGATGGCGCTGGACGCTGGCACATAAGAGGGGAGCCCAGCCGAGGTGAAAGTGCACCCCAAGTCCACGCTCCAGACCCGAGAGGTGGTGGCGAACTCCCTGGGCCGGGATCGAGAGAGTGGCCATTAGCCTTGAATGGAATCTTTCTCTGAGAAGCTGAATTTCAGCCCCAGGTGGTTTGGGTCAGTGGCTAGAGTGCCAGCCTGCAGACTGGATGGTCCCGGGTTCGATTCCAATCAAAGGCACCGACCTCAGTTGCAGGCTCCGTCCCCCTGTGGGAGACAACCAGTCGGTGTGTCTCTCTCCCAAACCCAGGTTTCTCTCTGTCTATCTGTCCCTCGGTCTTCCACTCTCCCTAAGAACCAATGGGAAAACATCCTCGGGTGAGGATTAACCAAAAAAAAAAAAAAGAAAGGGCGGGGGGAACAAATTAACTTCATAAAAATCAAAGTACTCCGGCCTTGGCGGGTTGTCCAGCGGTTAGGGCGCCGACCCAGGCAAGGAAGGGTCAGGGGTTCGAACCCGAGGTGTGGTCACAACTAACTGGTGTCGCTCTCTCTGATGTTCTCCCCCGCCCCCGCCCCGCTCTCTCTAAATAAAGGAAAGGACGAGC